TTGATTGAAGTCTGATCAGCTTTTCTTGATTTCTGCTGCAACCTGAGATAGATAGAATCTGATTAGGTTGTTAGAGCCTCTTCATTCGATAGTAGGAGATTGGTTATACGAGAGTTAGCTAGTTTACTGTTTTGTACTGGAATTCAATTCCAGTAGTGGAGTTCTGTGCTTATTGCTTCAGCTTTCTATCCCGGTGAAAACTAGTCATCTGTCGGGTAGTTAGACTGAGAGGGCTTGGTCAGCTTAAGAGATTCCAAGCTACTGTCGGATCTTCCGCAGTCTAATCAACAGTAAATCAACCCAGGGTTATTACAATTGAACCTAACTAAGGAGCTAGGGGGACACATTCCCAAGTGACTCTTACCTGCTTGAGAAAACCGAATAATTTCCTGCTTTCTTACTGCTTTTGCTTTAAACAACAATCACTCGAATTAGTTTGCTAGATAATAGACAATCACGGAGTAAGCAGTAGATCTAGACCCCGGGTTGATAATAGAAGTTGCCTGTTACTGCATTCCCGGACAGCGATTACACTTGATCGCAGTTTGGTGTTGTGTTTTGGCGTGTCACTTATCTTTCTCCTTCCTCCTCCCTTCTCCCTCCGCACCCTCCTAGTCCCCCCTTCTCCTCTCCACATGTCCTCCTTCCAAACCCAACCAAAATTGTCACCATCCCCCTCCTCCGGCACCAAAACACTGCCACCGCCGTCACATCCCGCAACCAAGACAAGCACAAGACATGAATCCATTCGATTGAGGCAACAGCCTTCCATGCATGCTCCACGCACTCACCATCCGTCTCGGAAAATCTCCCCCAGACAGTCATCGTTCAAAAATCGGCGGGGTGGTTCGAGTAGCTCGAATGGTTAACCATTTTGACCGCTAAAAAACCGGCCTTCCCGACCTGTTCAGCTTTCGGAGGAGCCCGACCTGGATTGATGCTCGGGTGTCGGTTTTATCGGTCCGACCGACGGTTCGGGTGAGCTTTAATAACACTGGTAATTACCATACAAAATAAGCCTAAATTCTATTAACCATGTTATACAGTATTATAAACAAACCGTGAAAAACTAATACAACAATCAAATTAACCAAACTAAAGTTTGATCAGTTTGGTTAATTGGTTAACCAGATTAACCAATATAATATCACATTATCATTAAATGAGAATTTTTTTGGGTAATTAATCAAAATGTTGACATAGGTTTGGATAAGTAACAAAATGGTCACAAACGTTTAAAACGTAACAAAAAGGTCATGTACGTATCATCCAAAATAATCGATTCGTTTGATGACACCGTGAAAAATTGATAACAAATTATCAACCACCTAACCAACCAGTGAATTTACCGCTTATTTAGATCAAGCGAACTGATCATTTTGGATGGAAATATTGATGGGAATACATGGAATATCTGTTTTATTATAACATGATACTTGTGTGACATTTTTGTTACGTTTCAAACGTTTGTGACCATGTTGTTACTTGATCAAACCTGTGTGACCATTTTGATCAATTACCCAATTTTTTTGGTTAATGCATCAATTCACAATTTGTATAATGAATAAAACATAACAATCAACATATATTTATACTTAACTCTTAACATAAATATATGAAACTAATACAATTATCTTACAGTCAATAGAAGTATTCACCGAACAAAAATATATGTCAATCGTATGAGGTTAATAAATTGTTGTATCAATGTGAATTGACTTAGTCTCTTAGCAATTATCATAGGTTGAAAAAGACATTTCTTTCAAGTTTTCATACAACATAATGTATGATTTTTTATTATCAAAATTAGTCGTCCAAATTATATATTAGATACATGGCTAATTACTTAACTGGTTAATTTGGTTTGACTAGTTAGGAGTGTCTAAAACCAAACCAAACCAAACCACCTAAACCAAACAAGCTAAAAAGTTTAATCAAAGCAAACCAATTATCCATATTAACCAAACCAAATTATCCAAATACTACCGATTAAAATGGTTACCATGATAACCACTTCATTTGAACAACCCTAGTTTACACAACTATAAACCCCCATTGCATTCAAAATTTGAAAATATAATAAAATCGATAAAATGGTCTAATTAGTTAATAAAGACAAAAATAGTTGAGGTCAACCTTGTCCTCAAGGTTGTCCCACTCCTTTCTTGTTAGGCTTGCCATACTCAATTATCATTTCATCAGCTTCATCCTCGAGGTTACCAAACAGAAAACATCAAATGATAATTGACACACAAGTGGCCCAGCATATATATATATATATATACTTCTCATTGTAGTTGAAGTAATGAACATCTCAGCGCTTCTGCTCCATCTTGGTCGACCTCAGCTCAGAAACCCTCTCGACGACACGCGGGGCTTGGGTCGGCTATTGCCGGTGCATTTGCTGTAGTGAGTGTGCTGCCACCTCCAGTCACTCCTCATCCCCTTGTTCCTTTGCCGCCTTCTGGAAGCTCCTTGCACTCTCCTCAGCTTCCAACGTGCTCCTTTCGTCCTGTAATCTTGAAAGCCACTCTCAAGTCTCAATGTATCAAACTCGAACACAAATACATGCAGGAGAAAACACCAACGAACCCAATTCCAAAGAACAGTAGAACATGAATGCAAAAAAAAAAATGCGGCAGTCAGAACATCGACACCGACGAGACAAATTACCGAGAAAATAGTGTCTCCTCCCTCTCCGGCCTCAATATCCCTTCCTAGCCTTGGTCTCATGTCAAGTGCTCTCTCAGAGAAGAAGATTACGAAACAATAGAAACTACTAAGAAAGTAGTGTTTCTCAGGTACTTTGATAAGACCTAAGTATTTTTAATTATGCTTCTTAGACACTTAAATTGGGATTGTGTTGATTTGTTATTTTGGAGATGTTTTGGGTATTTTGTGGAACTAGTATAGACTATTTAAAGGCTAGTTGAGTAAGGGACTGGGTAGACAATTATTGAGCAATAAGGGTAGGTTAGGATAGCTGGATTTGTATTTGGGTTTTGGATTTGAATTTTAAAATAAAAAATTTTAGTGTATGGTAGCCCAGCGGGTTTTGTGTTTGGATATCGGCCAAATGCAGGGTGGATTTCGGCCCATGTAAAAATAAGAATTTCAAATACAGCCTGAACAGTACCGATTTGAAAATCCAACGCGAAGGCAAAGCCACAATCATCGTCTTCATTGCTGCTTTCTTCCTTCAAAAACACCATCTCCATAACCTAACTCGATCCATCTTGGCTTCCATGGAAAAGGATTAGCTATCCCTGGTACTGCCCACTTCCCTCCATCGACAACCCTCGTCTGCCCTCCATCGAAAACCAACGCGAAGGTCACAACCATCATCTTGTTCGCCACATCTTGCCTTCCATATTGAAATTCTATCTCCTTAACCTAACTCGATTCGGCCTCAATGGACAACAATTAATCTCCTCCTTATCCACCGTCGCTGCCCACCGCCCTCCATCCACAACCATCAACTCGTCTGCTCTCCACCAACAACCATTTGCTCGTTTCCCCTCTTCGTGTTCTTCAAATCTCGGAGGTAAGCCATACTTTGGAGTTGTTTGCTACTCGTTTGATACAGCTTCCGAGTACTGATCTTTCATTATCCAAACCCTTATGTGCAGATCTGACCATCAACTTTTTATCTTACCCATCGGGTCACTGCCCTCCATCGACAACCACTAGCTTGCCTGACTGTTTTGATTTGTTTGCAACTCCAGGTAAAAGATTGTTGAATGTTTCGATTTGCTTGGTACTCTAGGTTGAATTTGGTTTTGCTTCTGCAAACAAAGTTTCCATCGTCCCAGCCCAATCGTGTTCTCACCTTGGGCTTCAATTTGCAAGCTGAAAGTTTGTTGTTCTGTTATAGCCGATTTTGCTGCTTGCTCATTGTACTATTTGTTATAACTTTGATGGGTTTATGAGTTTTGGTTGTTTGAGTAGTGGATTTGTGTTATTGGGTTCCTTGTTGTGGTGAATTTTTCCCATGTGAGTTACTTACCAAGTCAACATAATATGTCCCATGTAGCTTTTCTTCTTTACCTCTTTGTTGATTTGCTATAGCTACAGAACGCTATAGCTAGGTCTCAAGTCAAGACTACGCTAGAGAAACCCCAGACTTGATGTGTTTGGCTCTGCAGCAAACATATACCCCTGCCAAATGTAGTAGTACTCAAACATATACTCCCTCCAATGTAATCTGATCACTGCTTTCTTGCCAGATTGTATGTGTATCTGTATATATTGTTTTTCTTGTTCTTCCTTTTTAGTTACAGTTTGACCTGTTTTCTTTTTACTTTCTACGGTAAATTATCATTGCGCCTAAAACTGAACCCTTATGCAGTCTTTATGTGTGGATTTGCAGAACTAAAACAAACCTCATCTGGATCATATCTTACAAAGTATGGATGAAACTAGGAGAGATATAGTTAGGTATAAACGTAAGAGAGATGACAAAGAGGAAGAAGAGGAGTTGATTGTGTTGGTAATTGTATTTCTGGTTGTTTTTATTAGTTCACTCTTTACGCCTGCAAAAAATCAGTCGTATGCTAAACATTTTGAGCGTAGATTTTTCGTAGAAGAGATCATTTAGATACTTTACTTTCTCAACCAATATACGTTGAGCAACTACGCATCAAACCACAAGCTTTTGATAAATTGTGTCGCAACTCGCAAAATAAGGGTGGTTTAGTGGCTTCAAGACATGTGTCTATTTCAGAAATGGTTGCGTTCTTTTTGCAAACCTTAGCGCATTGCATGCGAAATAGAACAATTAAAGCTACTTTCCTCCGTTCGGGGGAAACTATTAGTAGATATTTTCACGAGGTGCTACGAGCAGTTTTACATATCGGCAGTGGTTATGTCAAAGAAAGCACACAAGTTCTTAGCTCTAGAGATGCTGAAAAATGGAAATGGTTTCAGGTAGTTAACTTATGTCTATTCAACTTTGGTTCTTACCTTTTACTCTAAAAAACTCAAAGTAAGATATATTGTAGGGTGCAGTTAGAGCACTTGACAAGATCTTTCTTCCTTTAACTGTACCCGCTGAAGACGAGTTTAGATATCAAAGTGGAAAAGGCAAGATTAGTACAAATGTTTTGACTTTTTGTGATGCTAATCTGAGGTTCACTTATGTTCTGCCCGGTTGGGAGGGATCAGCTTCAGATTCTCGAGTGTTGCGTGATGCTCTATCACGTGAAAATGGTCTTAAAGTTCCTAAAAGTAGGCTTCTGTGAACTCTTTCTAATGTTCTTTGGGTATTATCTATTAAAGATTACTTAATGATTCTTTTTTTTCTTATTAAATTTGTAGATAAGTACTATCTTGTGGATGGGGGATATGCCAACGGGCCTGGTTTCTTAGCTCCTTATAGGGTGACTCGATATCATTTAAAACTTTGGCGAGGGAACACTCCTAAGAACGTTAAGGAGTTATTTAACCATAGGCATTCTTAGCTAGAAGTTACGTTGAAAAGGCATTTGGATTGTTGAAGAAAAGATGGGGCATTTTGCGTGCAGCTGGCTTTTATGACGTGAAAACTCAAGTCAGAATTATCAATGCTTGTTGTATCCTTCACAACTTCATTGGTGATGAGTGTTCACATGATGCACTATTGGATGAAGTAGATCAAGAGTTGGAAGATGCTTTAGATAACGATTAATATGACTCTGATGAAGAAGAAATCACAGCAGTGAGGGCAACCGATGGGTGGACTTTATTTAGAGATAATTTAGCTAAGAAAATGTTTGAACAATATAAAGCAATTCTAGCTCGTAGAGCTCGTAGAGCTCGGAGTTAGTTCTGTATTTTCTGTTAGATCTGCTCTTGTAACTGGAATCAGCATTGCTCTTAGTTATTGTTTGTCTCAGTAACGAAATCAACATTGCTCGTACTTATTTATTCTCTTGTGGTGCAACTTTGGTTGGATTTTCTTGTGTTAGATTCTTGTTTCCTGGTCCTATTAAGAACCTTCACAATTGATGTTGTATGGTTTGGTACCCTGCTAGTTTACTCAGTTTGTAGCCTTAATCAAGTGCAGTAAATTTTGCAGTAGACAGTGCTGCAAATTCTGTAGCAGACAGTTGGTTTTGTATGACATTTGTTGTCTCTATTTTTATACTGCTGGTGTATGCTTGCTTGTACTTATGTTTTTTCCCCTTATTCTAGCAATAGATACTAATGATGTGTTACTTATAGCCGCTTATTGGTCAGGTTTTAGGAACACTGATGTTAGTAACATGTGACCCTTACAATGGTCAACTCAATGTTATATGAAGTTTGTTGAATACTGATCAGGTATAAAGTGATTGAAACTCTTGTTGGTTGTCAGTACTGGATTTCATAGTCAGAGTATTTATTGTGTTTCTCTATTTGGAGAGTTTGACCAAGTGTAGTAGCTGTTTATGTTTCAGGGTTCATTTGTTTGAGTGGCCTGCTGAAGTGATCTGCCTGTTTGTTCTTATTGTAGTAGGAATGAAGCGACAGGAAAGTATTTTACCCAGTAAATCTCGTGTTTATTGCCAATGGGATTCACATATGGAGAAGATTTTAAGTCGGTTGTTACTGGATCAAATAGTTCAAGGAAATAAGGGTGATGGAGACTGGAAGACGCAAGCATACCAAGCAGTTGTGAATCAACTTCGCACTGACTTGGCAATCAATGTGACTAGAGATAATGTCAAGAACCAACTTCGAGCATGGACGAAACGCTATGCAGTGATAGCTGATGTTCAAAAGCGAAGCGGATTGAACTTGTGGGATGAAGATAATAAGATGATCGTAGTTACAGCTGGTAATATGAGTGATTGGCTATCTTACTGCAATGTAAGGTTCTTTTCCTCTTATGCTCTATTGTGATTTGTGACACTGCTTTCATATATAGTGATGGGAGTTGGGTAGTTGAAGCGTAGGTTTCTTTTAATGGTTAGATTTAAGTAGAAGGAGAAGGAAATGGTACAAGGCGGGCAGGGGTGTATTTTTAGCTCTTTAAGATGAGAGCCCCGGCCTGAAAGTTTGTTTATGAAGGTTCCTCCAGAATTTGTGTCCTGTGTAGTGGTTTCTTTGTATAGTGGTGTAGGCGGTTGGTAGTTTCCTTATGGTTGCTTTGCTTCTTTTAATCCATGATGTCTATTTGTCCTTGGACTGCAATTTCAAATGTGTTTATAAGAAGAGTATTAAAGGACGAACTAAACTAGTACTAGTTAAAAATAATGTCTTTGTGGGGGTGGTAATAAAGGGTACCATTTGCAGGGAAATTTTAACGGTTTGTGTGGGGTTAAAAATAATGTATTTGAGGTTGCTTTTGTTTTTGTAGGATCACCCTGATGCACGTTCTTGTGAGAACACATATATCGAAAATTAGGATGATTTAGTCTTGTTGTGTTCAAAGATAGAGCTGTGGGAGATGGGGCAGAGCATTATTCAGAGGCAAATGCATCCATGGGTGATGAAGATGACATGGAGGACGCCGGATCAGCGTATACTTTTGCCAACTCGAGTGCACATGACTCAAAATCTCCAGGGAAGAAGCCTATTGGTGAAGTTAGTTTAGAATCGCGAGAGAGAGCTAAGAAGGACAGTCAAGTCGGGGATGCATTGTATATGGTAGCTAACTCATTAAGTAGCTACTTGATAAGTAAGAAGAAGGAAGAAGAACCAAAGTATACAGGGAAAGAGATCTATGATGTGATATGCGAGATACCGGGGTTGACGCATATGGAGGTTGCCAAAGTTGTGATGAAGTATCGATGTGGTGATCCTGAGCAGTTCAAGTTGCTGCTGAAAATTCCAAAGGAAGATAGAAGAATCTTTGTTGAGTGTATTCTTGGTGAGCCTTAGTTGGGTTTGCTTTGTAGAGCCTGAAACTTTGAAGACCCACCTTTTTGTTAGATGAATCATTGACATTTCTAGATCTATCTATTACTCACATGCTATGTTCTGAATATGGAAGGAGGATTATATGTAGCCAAGCGTAACTTTCTCAGTAGTAGCTCTAGTAGTCTTTTTTGTTTCATTGGCCATGTTTCATATGGAATTTTTCATTCTGCAGTAGTCATTGGGGGGAACAGAGTAGGTCTGGAATTGCAAGGGGAGATTTGTCTTTCTATATGTATAGTGAAGTGGTTAAGGAGATCATTGTACGTATTGGTGCTATTAAAAAGCAAATTAAAAAATAATTATTTGAAATACCTAAAATTTGCAACTATATATCCAAACGGTAGAATTTACATCTTTGGTATTTGAAATCATGTATTTGAAATACACATCTATCCAAATAATGGATTTTAAATCCTAAGTATTTCAAATGCATACATTTCAGATACTTGCATTTCAAATACATGTATTTCAAATTCAGCTATCCAAACGCACCCTTAAGAAAACTCTAAGGCATCTAAACCTAGCCCCTCTTCCTTCTTATGTGTCGCGACACCTCTCTTTTCGTTTCTCCCTTGTTCTCCCTAAATCTCGCCCTATTCTTCTCTAATTTGATCCTTCTATTTCTGTTCTCCTTCTTTGCGTGTGATTGTGATTCCACCTTACATCTGATCGACCGAGGATACATCAAATTTGGCGATCAATCGAAGTGTTTAACATGAGTAGGTTGTTTCGGCTCGATATCGTAAAAACTTCCTGATTGTTGCGTAGGAACAAGCTCATTTTCAAAATATTTTTACTGGAAAAAAGGGAATTTTTGAACAAAATAAAAAGTCAAGAAAAATTTATTCGATTTTTTTTCCTTTTTAGATGTTTTTATTAGAACTTCAAAGATATTTATCTTGGAAATATTATATAAGTAAAGTAATATGTGTAATTTTTTTTTCACCTCTCCAAATCAAAATCTTGACTTTGCCTCCTTAGGAGGCATAGTTAATAAATAATATATATAATAAACATATATAGTCGTATGTATATTATCCGTTTAAAACTTCTGTAACTTTATTATCATCAAGCCGTTTCATTTTTCTATTTGATGGTTCCCGTACTAAACACGTATAAATCTATATAATACTTAGGGTATGCCTACTATGACATGCATGTCACCGTGTCATGGACTTTTCGGTCGACCTAATCCTGAAGGCGGTCGACCGAATTGACTAATTTGTGCAGCACGAGAAAGCATTGCGGTCGACCTCAACGACCACGTGGTCGACCGCACTTAGTTAAGTTGTTATTTTTGGTGGAAATCACGCATTAGAGAAAATGACGGCGAATGCTACATTAGGTCGACCTCACCTTAGACGTGGTCGACCACTTCGACACGTATAACAGCAACCGCGAACAATCTTCTTCACAAAGGCTCTAAATCGAAAAAAACCTAATTCATACTTTGGTGGAGTTGAAGGGGACTTATATTCGTATTTATAGAAATTTAGGACGTGAATTGACCCATTCACGTCCTAAATCTCTATAAATACGAATATAAGTCCCCTTCAACGCCACCAATTCGTTTTCTTGTCCAATTGTGGAACCTTTTGCTGTTGGAATCCTTATCCAATACGGATACGGTGTGCATGCGGTCGACCTCTTACTAATGAGGTCGACCTGATAGGTGCACAAGGGTCGGCCTATGAGGTATTTGGGTCGACCTTTCGTTCTGTTATACCACCAAAGAGGTCGACCATTTTATGTAGATGGTCGACCGCGTCTCTGAACCTCACATAACTGAATTTGTCAATTCGGTCGACCGCCTTGTGAATTAGGTCGACCGAAAAGTCCATGTCACGGTGACATGCCTGTCACCATAGCAAAATCCTAACACTTATGATATTTGTATGTAATAAATTAAATGGCTAACTTAACTATTATTATACGCTAATGTGTTTTTCATATTATTAATAATTAATTATATATTTTTATAAATATTTTCTCGTTGAATCATATTCTTTCCATTAACGAAAATAGTGAGACCAATTCAGCCTCACCCAACTGATTACAACGAAAGGGCAGTCCCAGTATGAAACCACCCGTGCAACAGAGATATGTTTTTTTTATAAATATTGATATACTAATAAACGTAGATTTAGTTTAGACACAGAGTAAAATTTGCATACATATTGTATACGTACTTCCTCACCTTATCTTACTAACTATTCATAGGGAGAGATGTGGGGTGGAGGTAGCCGAGGGGAAAACCTTTTGGTTGGGAGTTCAAGAATCTTTGGAGCAAGGTCTCTCACCTCTACTAATAGAAACTGATTGCCTTATCCTCATTTGTAAGCTTTTGAACATGGAGACTGACAAAATAGAAATCAAGGTCGAAAAGTATATACCGTTGAAGAGTTCGGAGGTGATAATTCGGTGAAGCTTTAAAACCAAAAAAGGAAGCTAAGTAATTAAATAGCTTACTCTTTAGTACATTGGTTCAATAGCCCACTCACCCATCTGCTTCCACTGCGTATTCCCAACTAGATGGCGTCTCGATGTCTTCACAATTAATATTCAACCATTGTAGGGTGGGTATGTTGGTGGGTCATCCGCAGTTTGTTATCGACTCACCTGTAAATAACTCAAATGGTTGTGGATGAGTGATTGATATGGGTGAATTGTAGAGCAATAAATCTTCTATCCGCACTGTCACATGTGGCAGATGACATGGCGCCAACAAGGTGACAACATGGCGGCTGCACATGTGGCGTGTATGGAAGACTAGTAGCATAGAGATGCTCCTAGGATTCTCCACCTTAATAGAGAGCTTAATGGTGCACTTATGAGCCACATTATGGGTGGCATTGTTAGAGTGCAGTATGAGATGACTTAATGGGTGTATTGATGTAGAGGGACATTATGAGGGGCATTGATGCCTTGTATGAGAAGAGGCCTATATAAGGAGCCATCTCCCTCACTTGTAACTCAATCCATCATTTTTTTAGAGTAATACACACTAGAGAGTTCTCCCATCTTCTTGGCTTTGTTCTTGCTTTCTTTTCTTGTTTGTGAGTTTGAGAAAAGGCTGCCTAGTTCTCTAACGGAATTGAGAGCTAGGACCGCACGATCGAGACTAAGGTCGTGACAAGTGGTATCAGAGCCCGGTTCGGCTTTGTGCTAGCAAAGAAGAAGAGATTGCCAAACAAAGAGGAAAAGCCTCACCAAAAATGTCGGGATCAGATAGCGGCGTTACCGAAGCTGAGAAGAAACATAGAAGAGATGCCACCACGCGCTCGAGGTTAAAAGGTGCGTTGAGCACTCGTGATCCTCTCAAGTCTCTAGAGAAGCGAGTCTCTAGAATGGAAGTGAAGGTGGCGGAAGATATCACTGCCATCGAGGATTTCCGAGCTAACTTCGCCCAAGTCCAAAGTGATGTTCAAGGTATGAATGCTCGTTTGTCGAACTTGGAGATCGGTCATGATGGCATACGAGAAGAGCTTGTGGCCCTCATCAACGACACCATCACCGCCTCCATGAACAACGCCATTGAAGTTGTGAAAGAGCACGTCGAGGCTGAGCTGGTCGGCGTGAAGGAGGAGATTGCAGACCTCAAGAGTGAGGTCACTCTCGTGAAGAGAGTCATGGCTAACGCACCAGCCCCGGTGCAATCCGTCCCACGTGCTGATGTTCCAAGACCGAAGAACTTCGGAGGTTCAAGGAACGCGAGGGAGTTAGAGAACTTCCTTTGGAGTCTTGAGCAGTACTTCAAGGCGTTCGGTATCCAAGAGGATGAGTTAAAACTTCGTACCGCTCCACTCTACTTGGTTGATGTTGCTATGGTGTGGTGGAGGCGACGTGAAGCAGACGTGGAAAGAGGTACTTGTGTGATGGTAACGTAGAAAGATTTCAAGAGATAAATCAAGAGGCAGTTCTATCCAGAGAACGTGGAGTTTGAAGCCCGTTCGAAGTTGAGAAGACTCACACAGAGGGGTGGAGTTCGAGAATATGTGAAGGAATTCTCGGAGCTGCTTCTAGAGATCACGGACATCACGGACAAGGAGGCCATGCACGACTTTCTTGATGGGCTGCAACCATGGGCCAAGATGGAGATGCAACGTCGAAGAGTGCAAGACCTTGCAACTGCCATGGCCACGACAGAGTGTTTTGTAGAGTACAAAAGTCAAGAGAGCAGCACCAAGGAGAAGAGTTCAAAGCCCAACAAGGGTGGAGAACTGCAACAGCCTTTCAAGGAGGGTCTTCGCACTCAACAACAACATGGTGGCCCAAGCAAAGGGGGTAAGTACGAACCAAAACCCGTGTCTTATTTCCTTTGCGATGAACCCCAACGAGTGCGAGATTGCCCTAGGAAGGCGAGGTTGGCAGCCATGGAAGCTCAAGATGAAGAGCCCAAGGCGGCGGAGGCCAAGATTGGCTCAATCCGCAAGCTTGGCGTGGTGAAGACCGACGTCAAGGAGAGCAAGCGTGGGAGGTGATATGTTCTAGCGCAATTCATGCAAGGCGAGTCAAAAGCCTTGGTGGATACCGGTGCCACAGACAACTTCCTTCACATTGAGGAGGCAAACCGGCTAGGTATTGCCTACGAGAATGGGCAAGGGAGGCTCAAGACGATCAACTCGGAGTCCATCCCGATCCATGGAGTTGCTCACAACGTGCCAGTGAAGCTTTGCGAGTGGGAAGGCCTCATCGAATTTTTCATCGTCACCATGGACGATCACCCAGTCATCCTCGGCATCAACTTCCTCGACAAGGAGGGAGTGCTCTTGAAGCCCAACTCCAACACGATGTGCTTGGAGAAGGAAGGGGAGTTCCATGCGGTCCATCTCTTGAGAGAAGATGGCCCCCATAGTGATATATCCGCCATGCAGGTATTGAAGGGGTTCAAGAAAAATGAACCAACCTTTCTTGTGTCCTTGAAAATGGAGGAAGAACGAGGCTCGGCGGGAATCACAACTCCCATCATCGAAGGTGTCCTCGAAGAGTTCGATGACGTGATGCCATCGGAGTTTCCCAAGAAGCTTCCACAAAGAAGAGAGGTGGACCACAAGATCGAGTTGGAGCTAGGAGCGAAGCCCCCTTCGCGAGCACCATACCGCATGGCGCCACCGGAGTTAGAAGATTTGCGGAGGCAGCTCAAGGACTTGTTGGACGCAGGCTACATGCGGCCATCAAAGTCACCTTTTAGAGCGCCGGTGCTGTTCCAAAAGAAGAAGGAAGGGTCGTTGCGCATGTGCATCGACTATAGAGCCATCAACAAGTTGACGGTGAAGTAGTGGCCGATTCCCAACATTGCCGACTTGTTCGACCAGCTTGGAGATGCGAGATGGTTCACCAAGACGAGATGGGCTACTATCAAGTGCAGATAGCAGAGGGCGACGAGCCAAAGACGGCTTGTGTGACGAGGTATGGCTCTCATGAGTTTCTTGTGATGCCATTCGGTCTCACCAATGCACCAACCACGTTTTGCACTTCGATGAATCAAATGTTCGAGCCATTCTTGGACCGGTTTGTCGTGGTCTACTTGGATGACATCGTAGTGTGAAGCAAAACACTCGATGAGCATGCCGAGCATCTACGCCAAGTCTTCCAATTCCTTCGCGACAACGAGTTGTACGTCAAGAGGGAGAAGTGCACTTTTGCCGCCACGGAAGTTCCATTCTTGGGGCACATCATCGGTGGAGGCAAGTTGAAGATGGATGGGGCGAAGGTGAAGACAATCCAAGAATGGGAGCCGCCTACAAAGGTGCCAGAGTTGCGGACCAGTGCCCACCCGTAAGCTATCATCATCTGCCGCCAATTCTTGCTTTTTTTGGGGCATTTGGAAGGATAGTCAGTTACTAAGAGAGATTATTGGTAAATGAATGATTTCCCTTTAATACATTTGTGTAATACATTTGTGGTTGGTCGTCAACTGAAGGAGCAAGATTATCTGTGTTGTGGCCCGTGTGGTTCTTAATTACCTGAAACTTAGCGCCCCAGTTAAACGACTATCGTTGTGATTCACTGACTAGTTCTAGACTTCTAGATCCGCTCATCCTTTAATTTTAATCCATGAGTACATAAACTAAGCATTAACAGAAACACAAATTAGATCTGAGTCAATGGTCAAAGCGAGCGAGGCAAAGGTGTACGGCCTCTCCATTCCAAGTTCCAATTTCCATACCGTGGCATGGTGTGCATGTTAGGAAGAAGACAAAACCAGATCTCCCCCACCGCCCACCCAACAGACTACACATGTCCCCCCCAATCCATTGAGCCTTCAACTCCCCTCCTTCACCGGCTCCCTCTCCTAACAAAACCTAGCAGTATCATAGTGGAACAGCCTCCAGCACCCTAGTCTGCTGTGAAATCTAAGCAGCCACTTTCCACAGACGCCCTAAAGTTTCAGTCTTTCTCAGAGAAGCAGGCATGGCACACCACACCACCAGCACAAACCACAGTCGCATCCTCGCATCCCATCCAGAACCCCCATCCCCACCCATACCCATACCCAAATCCACCCACCACCAACCTTCCACGACCGCCATGGATCCCACTTCCCAAACATCCAAAGCCCACCGCCCCACCACCACCACCACCAAGATCGTCAGCAGAGATCCTCCTCCAGCGAAACCCAATGCTAGTAGTAGTTCATCTTTTATGTCCAATTACTTGTCTTCCAGACTCCTAAACCCATCTCACTTCCACCAATCCAGCAACAAAAACCCAACCCCACCTTGCCTAGATTCCCATTTGCAGGCCAGAGCCATGACCGCTTCTGCTGATTTTGAAGCTTCTTCCAGGTTCCCTGCCGCTAAAGCCAAGTACTACTACGCCCAACAGAGGAGACCCAGTGATGGCAGAAGTGACAAGGAGACCCTGAAAAGGGTCGTTGGAAAGCAAGAAGCTTTACCCAAGGGGAGGGTTAAGAAGCAGGATTTGGATTTGGGTTTGGTGGTGGTGGAGGAGAAGAAGAAAGTTTTGGTTGTCAGTGAGAAGACCAAGAAGAAGAGCAGCAGTAAGAATGATGATGTTGATGATTATGAGAGTGGGAAGAAGGAAATGAGGAAGGAAATGGATTTGTTGTTGCTTGAAGGGGTTGATGATGTTAAGAGGATGTCATCGTTGGTGTTGGTGGGGAGAGAAGGAGATCCTTGAGTGGCTCACAAGTGGAGTTGGGCGATTTCTTAGCAAGCAACGGTGCCAAGATTGTATCAGTTGATATGCCCCCATTTATGCAGATCCATGCCATTGATTGTGCCAGGAAGACTTGTGATAGTCTCGAGAAGTTCGCTGCCAAGACCCTAGCTCTCACTCTCAAGAAGGTAATTACTACTGCTCATCTATCACATCTCCACATACAGAATTGGAATGTCTTGATTGACTGAGGGATTGTTCTCTTCATGTGGGTTTGTGAGAGTTATGACAGTTAATGATTGGGTTTTGTTTGCATAGTCCTGATTGCTTTCATTTCGTTATCTTGCTGCAGGAGTTTGATGGTGTTTATGGTCCGGCATGGCATTGCATCGTAGGGACAAGTTTTGGGTCCTTTGTGACCCATTCAGTTGGTGGGTTTCTCTATTTCTCAATGGACTCCAAATTATATGTCCTCTTGTTTAAGACTACGGTCCAGAGAGCAGCAGATTCAGTTGAATGATTGGAATTATAGATTAGATTTGTTTAGTGGAGCTGAAAGGAAAGAAAGAGCTGGGCCAGAAGCTAAAAAGAACTGCTGTCTCCTTCTACAGATCTGTATTGTGAGGATTGTTTTTTTGTCTCTGGCTGTAGAAACTAGGAAAGCAGCAAAGCAAATATGTGAATATGATGTGAAAAGTTTTCACCTTTTCCACCCTTGTTTCAAGGACCCTCCCATCTTTCTTCCAAGTTCTATCACAAAGTTCTCCCAGCTTTCGTGAGTAGTTTCGCAGGCCGAAATTTCTGTATCTTTCTCTCCCTGGCCAGTGGTCACCTAGTTGCTGTACAAGTGAATGCAAAGCATGGCAACCTCTTCTTCTTTCAATGTTTGTGATGAATAGATTATTATAATAACATGACAGAAGCTGACTCGAACTAGTTTACATGATCTGCTGATGGCCTTAGCATTTCATATCTCACCAAAACTCCAGTTTCTGTTATGCCCATTATTTTCATTGTTACTGTTTTAGTTGATTCTTTTTTTTTTTTTTTTTTTTGTGTAGGAATTTTAGTTGATTCTTGATTGCATCTTCCCTTTCCAGTTTCCATTCCATATATATCCCATTTTGTCTGTGGTGTGTGGGGTTATCTTGGGTTGCCAGGACCACTCCACCCTTAGAGGGTGATGAAACAAAGAGGGGAAGAAAGTCTTGTGTTACTCGGAGAGTGCATTTCTGGTCTTGGAAAACTACAAAGAGAGAATTGGCATGGACTGGAAGTTTTGCATTCTGTGGTTGGGACCAAACTATGAACAGTACCATCAATTAATGATGATGATGATGGTGATGCAGTGCCGTTAAGCTCTTTGAGTCGTTACACTTCTGTGGGTTGGATGATCAATTCTTGTAATGGACGGAGGGTCAGTGCTAGAATTTTGCAAAGGGAATCTGGTTTAAGACTCTACATTGTTCTTTTTGTTTTTCTTAATTAGGGTAGCCTTTGTACTTTGAATTGGAAGATTTTCGATGAAGGATTCAAAGTGAGAGACTGAATCATAAAGCAGTGGAGGCTTAAAGCCATTCAATGATTATCCCACAGTATGTGACCAAGTGGAGGGCTTTTTACTATAAAATAGCAAACACTTTTTTTTATTTTAACAAAAGATAATCATATTGATTGATAATAAGATCACGAACTACATTCTAGACCCAACCCAAGTACGAAAATCATACAAGCGACACGCTATCGGAGACAAAGAAAGGGCCTTTCTAGCCACTAAATGGACTACTCTATTGCTAATCTGACCCACGAATCGAACACTAAAGCCACTACTCAACGCCATCAACCGCAGAATCTCTTGGATAATAGCCCCAACACGACTGTCTTGCGCATCCATGGCATTAATCTTATCAATGAGCACATTCGCATCACCTTCAAAGCGAACTTGAGTGATGCCGAGATTCTGACACCACTGAATAGCTTCACGGAGGACAATAGTATCCACCACAAGAGGGTCAACAACGTCTTCAAACAACATTCCTCTTGCTAAGAGCACAGACCCTCCTCCATCCTTTATGATCAATCCTCCCGTTGAATGTGAGTCAGCACGAACCGCCCCATCCCACATACAGACGACAGAAGTCAAATCCACCACCTCCAGATTGTGTTGTAAAGGATGTCGATCCGGGGCCAGTCTATCCTCTGGCAGAGACACCCATTCATGGAGTTGCTGATGGTATTGGCGCATCAGTTGAGGAATCAAGAACAACTTGCCCTCAAAGGCAACCCAGTTTCTAGATTTTCAAATCCGCCACATGAGTGTCACCAAAGCCATAATCTCGGCCCGCTGAGTCATCCGAAGTAAGCACTTTTTAAGGAACAGAGGGAAAGTCTGTCGAGGCAAACCATGACCCAGATGCTCCAATCCCAAATGAGTCCAAAGAGCCACAGCAATTGGGCACTCCCAAAAGAGGTGCTCCATCATTTCAGATTCTGCCCAACACACTGGGCATCGAGGCAAAATCTGGACCCTTTTCTCAATCAAAGATTCAGTAGTGGGCAGGATACGGTGGAAAATTTGCCATAAGAACAATTTTAGCTTAGGCGGGATCTGAAGCTCTCACATTCGCATCCAGCTCGCCCTATCAATCCAACTTACCATGGGGGCGCCGCAACCCACCTGTATATCCATCAAAATAGCCAGGTGGTAAGCAGACTTGACAGTGAAGAGTCCATCACATGTATCATGCCATACCAGTCTATCCTCTATACCTAGGCAGGGCAAGGGAATTGCCATGATGGTCCGTGCTACATCTGGTGGAACACATCTGGTGTAGTGATTGACGACACCACCCTCCCCCACCAGGAACTATGAGCTCGGCTACCTTTGGGTCATTGCCCTCCGGAATAACACAAGGATTAACCATAGGAGGGTTAGGGTGGGTATACGGGACTGTACGTGGGCACCGGGCCGGGCCGCCCACGGGCTACCATGGCACGACACGGTTATAACACGGCATGAGCACGGGCACGAAATAAATGGGCCAGCCCGGCACGAGCACGGATAATTTATGGACCGTGCCGAGCCTAAACTTCATGGGCACGGGCACGAGCACAAGCACGACACGATATATAAGTGGGTCGTGTTGGGCCTAATATTTTTGAGATTTTATTGAGTATAAGAACGGCTATGGCACTAAAATAACATTTATTTGATAGAAAATAAATATAGAAAGAATTATAGGTTCAAATATTACAAAATACAAGTAGAAAAATAATTATTTGTTGTTGTTAGAAGTGTCATAAAGATATATACGTGATTACTACCATAAGTAGAAATGGACGAAGAATTAAACAAAACAAATCATACCCGCTATACTTTCAATTTTCTTGTCCCCTTATTTGTTATTTTTCTCAAACATTATCGGTTAATACTATCTTTCTCGGTCCAATTTTTCACCTTCTTTTCCATTCTCTCTTTTATTTTCTTCCTTTTCATTAGACACGAATACGAGCACGACAAGAGCACGAATAGGCACGATAAAATTCGAACCGTGCTCGGGCCTGGGCCGGGCCTAGCAAAGATAACAAATGAGATTTCACGGCACGACACGAAAACTGACGAGTCGTGCCAAGCACGGCACGAAATAAATGGGCCTGAAGCGTGCCCGTGTCGTGTCGTCCCAAGCACGGCCCAACGGCCATGTAGAAGCATGATGTCACCCCAAATGGGGTCAGTATACACCCCTCCAAGTATCTTGGTGCCAAGCATAACGTCATGCAAGGGTGGTCAGCATGAGTACCATGAAGGCATCAAACATCAAGATGAAGACAAGCGAGATACCTCCACGACACAAGGTGGCTACTTGCCATGTGAAGTCATCAATCCATCAAGATACCAAGTGATCATCAGGCAAGCCAGGCGGTTAAGACATCAAGCAAGCTACATCAACTACCAAGCATGGGAGGTGACGGTTACAAGAATCAATTACATGGCGGTTACAACGAATGACTATAAATAGGAGAAATTAACGATGACGAAGCACTGGTTCCACAACCAAACATTTGACACACAATGTCAAACTTTTATCTTTTCTTTGCAAATTAGCCATAGCCTTAGTTTTTGGAGCTCTCACTGAACCTCCATGGGAGTAGGTGTAATTAACTTAGCTTGTTCATAAAAAACCATCAAACACCCTCGTTCGAACATTGTTCTAAGAGGAGAGAACCGTGTTGATCTTTGTTGTTCAAGAAGTCAAGGGTGCAATAATTAATATCAAACACTCAAGTTTTCCTCTCTAGAAAATAAATTGGCACACCTGATGGGACAACTGTTTGTTTGATTTGATGGCTCCACGACCGAGAGAACAAGAAGGTGATCTTCCACCTGGGTTTGTAAAAGAGCTAGTGGCGAGGTATGATCTTGGCCAAATAGCAAAAAGTGACGCCGAAAATAATGGTGGGGAAAGAGGTCAGCCATCACCGGCGCCATGTGTGGGTGTAACCACCACCACTTTGTCTCTCCACCAGTCACTGGTGGTAGAAATATAATTAATGGAGTAGGCTATGGTGGGATACACAAAACAAATTGCATCTCAACTTGATTGTTTCCGTACTCTCCTAAATCAATGTTTGAATCAACTGGATGAGATTTGCGAGATAAATGAAAACAATTTTAAGAAGTTTCACCAACTTTTGATGAAACCAGTGTTGAGATCAAAGGTTTTGGAGAAATAGGGTGTAGATCCACTACCAAGCGTTGCTACTAGGGCTACGAGAATTCTAGACTCTGGTGGCTGGACTACTCAGCCATGGTCAGAGAACTCATCGTCTCCAGTGACAAGTCAACCAACTCTTCAACGTGGTAGTTGTGCAAGAATATCGCTCCTACGTTCATCACTCACGTAAAGCAATTGTCTATACAGACAGTTACTTTAGAAAGTGCCTCAGAGGCTAGACCATACCTTAATGTGAAAGTTGGTGGATGGCCGTTCACTACAGATGTGTTCCCACATGCTTGCCCAACACCACTGCCATCCATGCCCATCAAGCTTGGTGAACGCGAACCGTCAGAGGGCAAGGTTGTATGAAAGCTTATCACCTGACAAGTTGAAGGTGAAATGTCAATCTGGGGGCACGTTGATGTCAAGAAAAATGGAAAAATTGATTTTTCTAAGGACTCACCACATTTTTCAAATAAGTGTGAGAAGAAGGGCATGTCTCCAGCTTCATGCAGTGGACAGGGGACATGTCATCAAACGCGAAGAATGAAGTGAGTGGCAAATCTAAGCGGGTGCTGCATACCCATGCCACCCATGATTTCCATAACTTTGAGAGCGTGTCAAAGAGTGGACAATGAGGCAAGTTTGTGGCAAAGGCCCCACATAGCATGCCAACCATGAATGGTCGACAGGAGGGCATATCATCAACCACAAACAGTGGAAAGATAGATGTTCCCAAGAAGCCACAACAAATCCGAGCCACACATGTTTTTAGTAAGCATGATAGTGTAGCTAAGTATGGCAAATGGGACATGTCATCAACCACAAGTAGTGGGAACATAGACGTACCTAAGAAGGCCCAACAAGCCAAAACCACACATGTTTGTAGCGAGCATAATGATGTAGCTATTTGTGGCAAGGGGGCATGCCATATACAATGAAAAGTGGTATGAGAGGCATATCTCCAGCCATATGTAGTGGACGGGGGGGCATGCCATCCACTGTGAAGAATGGAGTGGAAGGCAAGTTTGGGAGTGTTCATCACACCCAAGACACTCAAATAATTTATAAGTATGAGAGGGTGTTGAGGAATAGACAAAGAGGCCAGTCTATGCCTAACAGCCCTCATGGTAGACCACATATGAATGGTGTCCAAAGAGGCAAGTCCATACTTAACAGCCCTCATGGCATGCCCAACATGAATGGCACGACCTGCGAGAGTCAGGGGGAGGCTAGACTAACTAACGGTTTTTGAGATGGTGATGGACGAAATTACCTTTTTGTTATTAGTCCAAACATATGTTACTGAAACGTGCAAAATTAAAGGTTTGTGACCGTTTTATAGAAAGTGAATAGTTTTGCGATCAACTCTATCTTTGTTCGTTGGTGACGACGACCACCGGACTGACCTTCCTTGACGACGACAAGCTCCATGTTCGAAATCAAGCACCTTCCTCATTGGCTGGTAAACGAAAAGGAAAAAGGAGATCCGGTACCCGCAACGAAGAGAAAAGGCAGAAGGAGAGTTGGCCGGTTGAAGATGACCTTGGAAAAAAACCCTAGTCGGCAGCTTTTTTTGTTTTAGATTGACGTTTAGTTTTCTTTAAATTATGGAATTAGATTAAATTTTAAATAAATAAAATATACAATTTACCTAAATATCTTTAACTAATTACTAACTAATAACTCCTGTTAACGACCTACTTTACTAACATCCAATAGAATTGGTTTAAGCATATACTTAAATTTTTGGGGTTAAGCATAGGAACCCATTCCCTTCTAAGAACCATTTGAGAAAATAATTAGTTCATTATCAAACACTAGGCGGGTGATTCCTAGCTACTTACACCTAGGATGGTAGGGAGATTACCAGAATCAGCTTCCCTCTTAACAATATTATACAAACCCTCAATTGCAAGAGAGAAAGAGACAGAGAGTCTCCTTGTCTCAGTACTTTCTTGGCAGAGAAATAGCCACCCACACACATCCCTTTACAACCACACTAAGCATAGGTGTGGTTAAAAAGGTTTAAATCCATTGTATAAAATTCTCAGGCACCCCATTACCTCATTGACTTTCAACACAATTTATCAAATCAAATGCTTTCAGGACGTCTATTTTAGTGTACATCTAGGAGAAATCTGTTTCATATGATAACTCGTAACAAGTTCAGAAGCCATAAGGATGTAGTCACCGATACTCCTACCCTTAACAAATACAGACTGGTTGTTACTAATCAGTTCACACAAAATAGAGGAAAGCCTATTAGCTAGGATCTTAACTATGCATTTGTACAGTACATTGTAGCACGATATATGTCTAAACTGTTTCATAAAATCATGAGAGTTTCCCTTAGGTATTAGTGCTAATACTATGGAGTTAAGCTCTCTTGGAAGGTACCCATTGTAAAAAAAAAACTCACTGGATGATGTGACATCATTTCCAACCACACCATGCAGCCTCGTAGAACTCAACATGACTGCCATCAAGACCGGTTGCTTTATTAGCTCCCATAATAAACAAGAGTACAAGACATCTTTTATTTCTTCTTTAGTAACCACCCTACGTAGAGAAGGGCCTTCTGCCTCAATGAGAAAATGAAACAATAATCTTCGTAATTCATCTTCATAATCAGGGGCGTAGCCAGGATTTTATCGAGGGTGGGTCCATTTAGAAAAAATACATACGATAAAATAATTTTGTTAGCTTTCTAAATTGTTTATGATATAATTTTGTATTTGTAAAAACTTGGTATATTAAATTATATGTCAAAACTATCAAGAATATCACCATATATGTATCAAACAATTATTTATGATTTAGTTAGACATTTGCTTTTGAATCGTGTTCTTCGTCAAGACCGTTTAGTATCATTAACTCGAGTTGTTAGGAAAGATTTAATAATGAATCTAATACTATTTAGTATTTACTAACACTTTCCTGCTTACTCCAACCAACTTATGCGTTCTTAAAGTTTACGTAAATCCGAATATCATGTGTTTAACAAATGGGATTACAAAGATTCGAACAAATGATATCTCAGTCAACCATTCTCAATTAGAAGTGCCCTAAATTTCATTCTCAATTAACTATTATACTAATTTACTCATTTTCGTCCTTAGGAAACACATGTTACAATCTCCCTATCGCTGATTGAAATAAAATTATTTTTACAAATGAATTATGATTTGGTGGAAATTTGTTGTAAATATTGAATACATACATCTTCAATTTTGGGCGAATCATATACATCATTATCATTTGTACATAGCTCGTTATAAATACATTGAATATGTCAACGCTCGTTATAAATCATACATCAAATATTTCAAAGGTCTACCAATTTCATTTAAATACGTATTATTTTTCATACCCGATTAACTATTGTATCTAATTAACCATTTTCTAACCCGAGCCAGGGTGGGTCCCGGGACCCACCCTCTAACTCTCTCCCTCCGCCCCTGTTCATAACTCTCCACCACTTCAGAGTTAGCTTGTCCTAACAGTTTCATGTAGAATTTTATCGGTAACAATTTCTTCTAATATGATGATAAAGTTTAGAACTACATCTGATATATAAATCACTTGTCTAGTTGTGTCATAGCTCACTGCAATGCATGCAAGCTCATCAACGATACAGCCATCCTAAGTCCTTTTGAAGTTTTGTGATGAATCATAACAAGTGGTCAAATCAGACCCAATGTTAAAGCTAAGAGCGATCAAATAACACATCTCGTTGACTAACAAACTTTTTATTGAAACCCCCCTAGCTAGCTAGATTCCCTAACTAATTGCCTGCCAAGATCAACCCAATTTGCAATTTCGACCACCCCATCTGAGAGGTTCTCCGAATATTGTAGTATTCATTAGAGAATCTCTCACCAATCGATGACACAAGCCTTGAAACAGGAGCACCGTATTCGGTCATACACATAATGTTTGGAAACGCGCCCAAAAACTGGGAATTTGGGGAACTTGTATATGCATGTCTTGTCGCATTTCGTAGCTAGGGAATCAAAAGTCCCAGTTTCGTTACGATAACGAGTATCCAAACTAACGTTCGCAAACTGACAAAGCTGCGTACGACACTTCGTTGTTGTTGCTGCTACCACCTCATTCCCTATATATATATATTTTTTTTTTCAATTATAAACAATCACCAAAAGTCAATAAAGGAAAAGCGAAACATTAAAATAATATTTCACGAGATTAATAGCTGAAACCATAAAATGAGACAGAATTACCATGAATTAGACAAAGCATAAGAAGAGCAAAAATCAATATCAACGATGAACTCTTCATGGCAGATATTTTAACCTTTTGTTTAATATGAGTAGGATTTATTGGTAGTGAGGTTCTAGCTAGAACATTAGTTTTACACACATATATAGGGAAGTTCGGTAACAAGAGTTCTTATTTTTCGTATATCCTAACTTCTCCAAAGCTATAGGTGGAGAAAAATAACCTTTTACGGATGTCATCGAAATAACTGACCTTGTACCCACTTTTATTCTAACATTTGATTATCGCATTCTATAAATACTTTAACAATTTGAGCGATAATTGTTCAAGTTAATACTAACAAATAGTCAAATGTTTGATTGTTTCCTTTAGATTGAGTAAAAAAAATATTAGAAAATAGAAATGTATAAAAGTAACTAAAACACTAACTAATTTTAACAAACATAGCCAACTTTTGTTAGCTTAAAAGGAAATACTAAGATTACCTATGTTCTTAATGGGGTAAATAAACACTTCATAACGACTAATAGTCTAATACACATAAAATGCATGCGTCCAACTTATCAGCACCAAGTCAATCACGAAAGATAAAATTGCTATGGGAGCGGTTGACTTTGGATTGATCCGGGTGAAGAAATACTCTTGACAAAACACTAACATTCAAGACCTATGTTATTTTTCATATTGCTTAGAATTTTTAATTACATATATAAAAGTTATAACTATTTACTTTTGACAAAAAAAAAATTCTATAACCATTTACTTGGGATATAAATAAAAGAAGGTAGCATTAAACTTCTATATATTTTTCTTTCAAATTAAAAAGTAATTGAAATTCACTCTAGTATCACCGACATAATAAACCCAACATGCTGGCATGACCTTGTCTTCATCATATTAAGAATTATAAATTCGAGATTAGTATGACTTTCATTATAACATGTAAACAACACATGTTTTGTTCAAACAATAGCTAAGCAAAAGTTAGAATGATATTTATTGTGCATATAGTAGGTTATTCAAGAATTATATAGGTAAATATAAGAGTCGGATTTCTTCAGATTTATCAACTCAAAAACCGCATCCATCTGACAACATTAACAGGTGACAATAAATTAAACCTAACCTTAAAAAAAACTAATTCCATTAGCAAGCCCAAACTATACTAAAAGTGTAATTTGTGTTCTAAACTATTTAATAGGCTTAATTGCAAGTTTGGTCACTCGAATTGCTTAAAAATTTCACGTTTGCCACTCAAATTGATTTATTCCATTTATAGTCACTCGAATTAGTTGAACAGTCCAAGTTTGGTCACTCTCCGTTAACCTCCGTTAGACTCCGTTAGTGACGACCGTTAAGTGATGATGTGGCTAACAGAAAGACACAATCAGCATATTTTAACATTAAAAAATGAAGACCCGACCCGCCAGCTCAGCCTTACCCGCCCTGTCAGCCATTCTTGCCCAACCAGCGAACCAACCCAATTAATTGACCCTAAACCCAAACCCGAGACCCGCCGCCGTCGTTGTTGGTCTCCGCGATGTCGTTGTTGACCAAATTCAACGCTTGCCCACCCGTCGGGTAAACCCTCTCCTACGTTGCCGCCCAGATCGAGAGAGGCGATGCATCCTCGACGGTCGACAACATATCGACGGATCGAGAGAGACAGAGGCGGGTCTGTAGATCCAGTGAGATGAACTCGCCATTTCGACAGCGGCGGCGACGAATGAGAAAGGAGAGGCTTGGAGGAGATGAAGTCCGGGTTGGTAGGGATTTTGTTGGGGTGGTGGAGATGGTGCCGACGGGGAGAGAGAAGAGGAGATTTTGGGGCTGGGCGATTGAAATCTCTATCTCTATCTGCATCTTCTTACCCTATCCATAAGAACACACAAAGAAAAAAGATCCCTAAATTGACGAAAAAATCATGCTTTCCAATAAATTGGTGTGGTTAATAATTAATTTAACCAAGGGAATGAACAAATCCCTTCTCCTTCTTCTTTCCCTTTCTTGTCTGATGGTAGCGCAGTATGGGGGCCTGTTGTTGCAGCGACGATTAGGTGGTGCGGCGGTGGCCATGGCGGAGGAAGCTGTACGCTGAAGTAGCTTACACTTATCGGAATCGCTGTGCCTGCGGCCATGGTGCCACTGTACTTGTGTACGAACAGTGTCTGCAATCAAGCAACTTCGACCACAAAACCATCAAAATTCCATTCGAAGAAAAGGGCTGGAGCTGGATTGAATTGGAACTGGGAGAAAGTACGTACCTCGAAAACCCTTTTGAAGAAATGTACGGCGAGGGCGGATTCGACCAGGAAGAGCCTAGAAGACGAAGCTCCGTCACCGCCATGGTGGAGGAGGAGCAGGGAGGACAAGGCGGCGAGGAATGCCGGAGTGTAGGCCACAAGCATCCCGGTTCTGCTGGGGAGGGAGGACCAGGACGACGACGGCGAGGTAGAAGCGGATGTTTGGGCGACGAACTTGGAATACTTCATGTGGTTGCCTCGGAGCTCCGACAAGCCGGCGTTTCCCAGGGAGACTACACCCACCACCAACATCGCGGAGACCAACAACGACGGCGGCGGGTTTCGTGTTTGGGTTTAGGGTCAATTAATTGGGTTGGTTCGCTGGTTGGGCAAGAATGGCTGACATGGCGGGTAAGGCTGAGCTGGCGGGTCGGGTCGTCGTTTTTTAATGTTAAAATATGCTGACAGTGTCTTTCTGTTAGCCACATCATCACTTAACGGTCGTCACTAACGGAGTCTAACGGAGGTTAACGGAGAGTGACCAAACTTGGACTGTTCAACTAATTCGAGTGACTATAAATGGAATAAATCAATTTGAGTGGCAAACGTGAAATTTTTAAGCAATTCGAGTGACCAAACTTGCAATTAAGCCCTATTTAATATGATAAATCTGCCACAAACTATATGCATTTTGTGATATTTGTGTCCTAAACTATTCAATATGACAAATCTGGCACAAACCACATAGATGCTGACTAGATTTTCTACTAAACGATTTCCTGTTAAATACTAACGGTTAACGCCGGTCAACATTAACGAAAAATAGTTCGTGCCAGATTTGTCATATTGAATAGTTTAGGATACAAATGACACTTTTTGAATAGTTTGGGCTTTCTATTGGAATTAGCCGTAAAATAAACCTAACCGACCTATATATTTTGTAACCCTCAGGTATTGTCGTTAAATCGGTTCGGATAATTGATTGAGCCAATTTTTAGATTTATATGCTAACCCCTATCCTCAATTCACCCAATTAAAGCCTATTGTTGCATGCTACAATCAAATCAAGTTTAAATCAGTGTTATCGAAACCGGCCCGGACAACGATCCGGATTAGCGAGAGGTTTAAGATTTATCGGATAACCGGTGATTAACCGAAATAAAACCGATCAGAAAACCGGTGATATAATCTTAAAAAATTGTAAGTAAAACCCAAAATAACTAAGTATATAATTAATTTAATTAATTAAAACTAAAATTAAAATGATGGAATAGGGAAAGTAGTATAAACTAAAATGATTACACGGCTGGTGGTTAAGACTTAAGAGGAAGACAAATGGGGAAAGTAGTAAAAACTAAAATGAAAAGTGAAAGTAAATTTAAACTGGTGACAATCCTAATATAATGATAATGTAATGTTCCTATTCCTTTTCCATTTCAATTTTTTTTCCTTTTTCAATTTCTTACATTTCCTTTTGTTGAAGCGTTACGCCGTTACAAGTCAATAAAAAATGGTAACTAAAGTGCAAAACCGGCAGTTCGGGTGAGCTGGTTATGGCGGTTAACCGGGCCTCCCGGTTACAACCCGGTCGGCCAGAATCCTTATTGTTTTTATGCTGTTGGGATCGGAATCATGCCCGAGTCCGGTTTATCCGGTCCAATCGGACGGTCCGGCCCGGTTTTGACAACAATGGTTTAAATGCAAGATAAAACCTAACCCACCCAATTATGGGCTTGAGCCTCAATAGTCATTTCTGACTTCGAGCAACAGCTAGTCTTTGATGTCCCCCACTAGTACACAGTGGCGCGCTAGGATAGTTTAACCAGGAAACACATAAAACACTACCAAAAGTGCATAAAGTAATAAAAGTTATCGTAGAAGCTACTAACCACATATTTGAGCATTTATCAAGCAATTTCAAGCTAATGTGACACTTAACATATGAAAATCATGTAAAGTATGTCATTAAATAGAGGTCTATATACGATAATTTAAGCATTATTGACTCGTCCCGAATACCACAATAAATTTCCACCTAAGGTCCAAGTACAAACTTTAGTCGGGTGTAGTACAGGATAAGTATGTTTAAATATCGACCTGGGCCGGTCCGTCTACCCCTACTTCAGTCATTCGAATCATTATCTAGCAACAAGGTTAGGTTGAAAAGTTTGCTAATTAAAATAAAGCAAGACAAAAGGGAATGGTTTTGAATACTCTTTTGTGAGAAGGATCACTCGGGTGTCGCTTCCCCCTAACTACTACCATGGTATGTGAATTGAAGCGATTGCTATGGGCAAGGTGGTCGCGAACCGCTAAGGGATGCACATATGGTCGTAGACCACACTCACTATTGCTAAACCGAGGAATACATTGTAGGCTGTCACTCGACCCTCTCGGTTTAGGCAATCAATGGTTGGCTTACCCCATCACTCAACCCAAGGGTTGGACGACTCAATTGTGCTTAACCAAATTGCTTAATCCAACATTGAGGTTTGCCTTAAATTAACCTAGACAGGAGACTTAAAAAGCCCTAGGAATATCAACTCAATTGAGTCTCCTTTTGAAGGGGGGTTTTCCTCTCTAATCTAGGTTAAGTGGCTAATTAGATTGCTAAGCACAAACATGCACAACCCTTAGATTGCTAAGCACAAACATGCACAACCCTTAGATTCCTAAGCACACATATGCACAATCCTTAGGTTGCTAAGCACAAACATGCACAATCAACATGAATAATACCTCAATCATTGGATTAAACAACACCCATAAACAATCATTCAATTCACATAACATAAAACTACATGGTAGCTAGCTAGGGTTTCACAACTCCCAAGTGAAAAAGAAATCTACTCCATGCTAGAAATGGGAGAAACACAAGGGGAAGAGGTAGAAACCATCATGAAGGAGGCTTCCAATCTTCTTGTCACTTGTGTTGAACTTCTCTTGGGGAGAATCTTCCCAAATCCACTCTTGGAGCAAAAGCCCTAGCCTCCTTCTCCTTTGGTTCGTCTTTCTCTCTCTAAAATCTAAAGAAGGCTTTCTCATTCTCAAATGGGCTCTCCAAACTCTCACTAAAATCCTCTTTATTCTCAAAAAATGAAAACCTAACCTAAAATGAAGCTCCCCTTTCTCCTTCAACTCCCCTCTCCTTTTATACCCAAATCAGGCTCAGTTCAAGGTCTTAGGGCTGAGTTCAAGGACACGTTGATCAGTTCACGGTCTTAGTTCAAGGACGCGTTGAGCATTTCACAGTCTTAGACCTCAGTTCACGGTCTTAGTTCAAGGACGTGTTGAGCAGTTCATGGTCTTAGACCTCAGTTCACGGCCGTGAACATTGAAACGCGTCAGTGAACTCAAGATGGGCGTCGAAATGCACCGCTTCTCTTGCACGGGTTCACGGGCAACAGCTCCAGTTCACGGTCTTAGTGACCGTGAACTCGTCTTGCGTCAGTAACCTCTAGAAATGCTCTGGACGCCTCGACGTTCACGGGCAACATCTCTTCTTCACGGTCATACAAGACCGTGAACTCGCCATTTTTCACCTCTTCTCCCGGTTTTCGCCCTTTTTCGTCCAACTTTCGACTCCGGGGCTGGTTTTACATGTTAAATCCTAAATGCTAAAACACGAGAAACCTATCGTAAAACTACCCTTTTATGAGCATAATTTTCACAAACCCCTAAGGAAAACGGGGGTAAAACATGTACAATTAGGCCCGAATCAATTATGAATCATATTCCTTGATTCACCTATCGTGGTTTGGTTCAAACCTTCCCTATCTTTATTGAAAACCACTCATCCCAACGTATCATCATCATCATGAATAATACTTTAAAAATAGAAACTTACCATTCTAAATACAATTTGACCCCTGATAAAACCCAAAATGGTGTTATTTTTTCCTTCTATTTAGGTTCATTTCAAGTCATTTTGTGTTCGCATTGGTTGATATAAATTGATAAATTGTATGTTTATCTGATTGTGCATGTTATCTATGAATCATGTGCTTATAATGGGATTATGTATGACGAGCAATTGTGACTCACACTGACTACACCAAATAAAATCCCGACTAGATCCCAAGTATAAATTCTAGTAGGGTGTAGAATAAGACAAGCGTTTTAAAATGACAACCCGGACCGGCCCATGTACTCCTACTTCAACCGTTTAAAACGTTATCTAGCAATTGGTTATTAGTGAAAACTAAGAGCTACAATTTAAAGCAAGCAAGATTTCAAATTGTTGTGGATTCGATATGAGAAAACTCCACCTGTCTATAGCTCCCCCTAGCTATATATCAAGATCGACCGAATAGAATGCAAATGTGTAGAAGTGTGTTCATACATTGTAAGGAGGGTGCAACTAGTGAAGAAACTTCACTCTCTCGGATGATAGGCCAGGGAATAACAAATTAAGCTGAGGAACTAGCTTTCTTGACCAATCAACTAAAGGTTGCAAAAGCTACTCCCTCGGAACTTAATCTTGACAGCAAAACAACAACCAAATCAAAGTGCTAAATCAAAGTTTGAGGCTTGCCCTAAATTGCCCTAAGTAGGTGACTCAAATGGCCAAGAAATCCAACTTCTCAAAAGCCTCTAGTAAAAAGAACTTCTCTCCACCTATGTCTTTGGCATGGTTATGAGAAATGAAGAACACAACTCAAATATTATGAAAATATCTCAAACCTTGCATTAAACACAACTAACACACATAACATTCAATCCATACAATCTATCACATATCTAAAGCTAGGGTTCACAATACCCAAGTGAAAAAGCACTACTTCATAGCTAAACTAGGGATTACAACAAAGAGGAGAGAAAGAACCATGGTGTGTTGTTTGACTTCCTTCCTTGTTGTAGAAATCACCCTTGAAAGATGAAAATCCCCAATCCTCAAGCTTGGAGCAAACCCTAGCCCTCTTCTTCTCTCTTGGTTCGTTTGTTTCTCTCTCTAAAATAAGAAGAAGAAGATGACAATCTCTCATTAGGATATCCCCCTCAAGTTTCAGCTCCCTTCTCCTTTTATACCCAGCTCACGCGCACATCACGCGTGTGATCTTGAACAAAAGCACATCGTTTCATTTATGACCTTCAAGGCCTGGATAGGATTATCACGGTCTGGTGACCGTGATAAATTTAAGGACCTTGAGGCGTAAAAACTCATTTGCACGCCACGAACAGTACGGTCTGGCCC